GTGCCGCTGTGTCAGCTGTGGCAAAGACCAAGTCGTCAACGTACACGAGGATGTAGAACGGCGGCAGCGAGGTGTCGGTGCGTAGAAACAGCGACGGGTCAGCAGTAGAGGGAGCGAACCCAAGAGCCGCAAGCGTCGTCCTTAGTGTGTCGTGCCACTCACGTGGCGCCTGGCGGAGACCGTAGACCGGCCGCTGAAGCCTCCACTGGGTGCCAGGAGGAACCGAGCCAGTGAAGCCAGGAGGGCGGCGCAACCAGATCTCCTCGTGCAGGCTGCCCTGTAAGAAAGCAGTGCTGAAGTCAAGTGAGTGAAGCTCGTAGTCGCGGTGAGCGGCTATGTGCAGCAGCACCCGAAGAGTGGTCATCTTCGGGGTGGGGGAGAAGGTCTGGAAGAAGTCGACTCCCTCTCGCTGACTGAAGCCTCGAGCCACGTAGCGTGCCTTGAAGACAGGAGGAGAACCCGGCGGCCGCTTCACCCTGAAAATCCACATGCCACTGACGATGTTCGCCCCAGGAGGGGGAACGTCGTCGACGTAGGTGCCTGTAGACTTCCAGGAAGCCATCTCTGCATCCATGGCTGTCTGCCACTGAGAGGAGTAGGGACCCGCCATCGCCTCAGCGTAAGAGCGCGGGGTCGGGATGTCTGGTGCATCCGGGTCTCCCTCAGGGGCAACAAGCATGGACACGAGATGGGGCAAAGCAGCAGCAAAGCACTGGAACTCCTCCTGTCTGTCCTCAAGGACGTCCGTGCCAAGAGCACACTCACCCCCGACGGACGGAGGACAGGCAGACTCAGACTCAGACTCAGCGACAAGGCTGGCAGCGTAGTCTAAGCGACAGCGAGCAGCAAAGTCAACCAGCTCAGCGACCAGAGCAGACGCAGTAGAGGACTCAAAGGTCGGGTCAGTGACAACTGTAGCGAGGAGACGCGTAACAGTGGGACTGGCCGCACGACGGGAGTCAGACTCCGGGTCAGGAAGAGTAGGAAGAGAGGACGCAGGAGGAGACGGCAGCGGGACACGCTGCGGAGCAGTGGAGGGACGCAAGGTCATGTAGTGAGTGCCAGGGACAGGAGGAGGACGCTCACGCGGGACACGACGACCAGTGCGAGTAGTACGAACAGGCGACGCAGGACGAGACTCAGGCTCACGACGCTCTGTAAGGCCTCCTGTGGGACCAGCGTAAGGAGAGGGAGCAGGGAGAGGCGAGGCAGGCGGTAACTGTGACTGCGGTGGGACAGGCAGAGGACACTCGACGGAGGGAGGAGGACTAGGAGGAGGAGCCTGACCAAGAACCTGCTGAAGGAGTGGTACGAAGTACGGTCGCGGCCGCACAGCGTCTCCAGAACCAGCAGGGACACCAGCGGCAGCCCCAACGCCCGAGTCCTCAGCACCAGCAGTAGCTCCAACACCCGGGTCCTCAACACCAGCAGCAGCGTCACCGGTCGGGTCCTCAGCACCAGCAGTAGCTCCAACGCCCGAGTCCTCAGCACCAGCAGCAGCTCCAACGCCCGGGTCCTCAGCACCAGCAGCAGCTCCAACGCCCGGGTCCTCAGTACCAGCAGCAGAGCCACCGGTCAGGTCCTCAGCACCAGCAGTAGCGCCGCCGGTCGGGTCCTCAGCACCAACAGCAGCTCCAGCGCCCGGGTCCTCAGCACCAGCAGCAGCTCCAGCGTCCGGGTCCTCAGCACCAGCAACAGCGCCACCGCTCGGGTCCGCAGCACCAGGAGCACCACTCCGAAGACTGCAGCGCCGTGTGTACCACTCTCGGATCACCTGAATGGGGGGGAGCTCCTGGGTAGGAGGGGAAGTACTGGGACGAGCTCCAGAAGCACCTCTCCGGAGGCGGCAGTACTCGAGGTACCTCTCCTGCAGCTGCTGGGAGGAGAGGGCTCCTCCAGGTGTAGTACGCTCAGGCTCAGCACCCGAAGACTCAGCACCCCCAGACTCAGCACCCCCAGGCTCCGCACCTCCAGGCTCCGCACCTCCAGGCTCAGCACCCCCAGGCTCCGCACCTCCAGGCTCAGCACCCCCAGGCTCTGCACCCCCAGACTCAGCACCCCCAGACTCAGCACCCCCAGGCTCAGCACCCCCAGACGCAGGACGCGAGTCAACAGCTACCTCGACAGGCTCACCCGGGTCTACCTGGGACACACCTGAGGGAGCGGCACCCTGAGGGGGGAGGGGGTCTGGTACCTCAGCACCTGGAGCGAGGAAGAGAGGCGGGGGGGGGAGCGGGGCAGTGCGGTAGGGGAAGAGGCGGTAGAAGGGGACGGACTCGTCAAAAGTGACGTCCTGAGAGGCCAGAACCCGGCGCGAGGTGACGTGGTAAAACTGCCATCCAGGCGCGTCAGGCACAAAGCCAAGAAAGACACAGGGAACGGCGCGACGCGAGAGCTTGTCCGCGGACGTGTCGCGGACAAAAGCTCGAGATCCCCAGACCCGGAAACGCGACGCATCGCCAACCTCTCCCGTCCACCGCAGAGTCGGGGAAGTCTCCGGCAAGGAGACACGGGGCCAGAGGTTGAGCTGATGCGCAGCGTATCGGACCGCAAACGGCCACAGAAAGTGGGGAGCAGCCGCATGGGTCAGGGAGGTACGAGCGACCTCCATGACCAAGCCAATGCGGCGCTCAGCGACCCCATTCTGCTGTGGAGAGGCCGGAAGCGTGAACGACTGCTCAATGCCGTGCTCAGCACAATAGGCTGCCAAGAGGTCGGAGGCGAACTCACCACCCCTGTCAGAGTGCAAGCGCAGGACAGGAAAGTCCGAGTGAAAGCGCTTGGCTAGCTGGAGACGGGCTCGGCTGATCCAGGGGATCAAAACACCAGGGACGTCACCCTTGGCGCACAAGGGGAAGACCGTGGTGTAGCGCGAGTAGTCGTCAACAACTATCAGGAAGTACCTCTCCTGACCCTGACCACGAACGCGGGCTGGGCCCCACACGTCCATGTGGAGCGTCTGCAAGGGAGCAGTCGTCGGGGGAAAGGAGGAGGAGTGAGGAGCGGCGCGCTGCCGCCCCTCGACACAGGGAATGCAGTCAGGAGCAGGGGAGTCGGGAAGGGGAGGGAGCACCCTGGGAAGACCAGCAACAAGGTCCCGTTTGTGCATGGCCCGAAGGCGCTGCACAGACGGGTGACCAAGGCGGTGGTGCCAGAGGACAGTCTCATGCGCCAGAGAGCGACATGAGCAGGGGGCGGACAGCTGACCTGACGCAGACGCAGACGCAGCTACCTGAGGGGGCTCAGTGGTCAGTGTGTACAGGTCCGACCCCGGCTCCCGAGTGAAAGTAGCCAGGTGGCGGCCCGTCCGAGCACACGTGCAATGTGTCACACGCTCGTAGGCAGGGGTGAACTGGTGAACACCCCCGTCCTGCAGAGCACAGCTCGCCACCAAGTTCGTAGAGAACGAGGGGAGGTAGAGACCTGAGAGCGTGCCGGACGGAACCGCTGGACACGGAAGTGTAGTGGAGGAGGTCGCAATGACCGGACCCCCAGAGGGGTCAGCAAGAGAGACAGCAACCGGCCGAGCTAGTGGCTCAAGGACAGTGCGATCACGAAAGAAAGAGCGAGAAGCACCTGAGTCCAGTGTGAAGGTGTGCAGTGCTGCAGTCGACTCAGTACCAGGGGGCACAGACGCACTAGCACCTAGGGCAGCTGCTGCAGCAGGACCTGTGGGAGCAGACACACTAGCACCTAGAGCAGCAGCTGGGCTGGCCTGAATGCCCGGGTCGGGCGGAACACGCAAGTACTGGGCACCCTCTCCACTAATAGACATCGCATACATAGCAGTGAGAATAGCATCAAAGTCTAAAGCCCAGATATCAACACCCTTCTTTTCCAGCTCAGGCCAGCGGGGGAGCTCAGTAGACCCAGGAAACTGGGTGCGCCACGCGTCAGTCAGGCGCTGGAAGCAGCGCTGCGTGGGGTGCGACCTCCCACATGGCTGGCCAGTGCGGTCACCAGTGCGGATGACGTACGTGCAAGTGTACCCACGCTGTGCGTACCACTCACGGGCGGCCTGGAGGGTCGGGGCGTGCTGCTGACTCTGGCCACCTCCAGCGTCTCCACGGCCACCACCGCCACCGCCACCGCCACCGCCTCGGCCACCTCCACCCCTGCCACGGCCACGACCGCCACCGCCGCTGCTGCCACCTCCGCCCCTGCCACCACTCCCGCCGCTGCTGTCACCACCCCCACTGCCGCCACTAGCCTCTCCAGACCCACCGCCACCTCCACTGTCTCCACCCCCGCCTCCCCCGCCTCCACCCCCACCCTTGCCCCCCTTGCTCTTGCGGCGCCCGCTCGAAGCAGACGCAGCCCCGACCTTCTCAGCACCGAGGAGGTCGACAGCAGCAGCAGTGGCGACAGAGGGGAGAAGGGGGGAAGGGGAACACCCCTCAAAGAAGGGGGTGCGGGGCTCGCCACGAGAGGCACCTACGGCGACGATGCTCGCCTCAGCTGCAAGTAGGTCCTTCTCGAGGAGGGCAATGGTGAGCTCAGTAGGGGAGCGAGCTAGAAAGGAGTCCCTGACTGTGCGCAGAGAGTCAGGGAGGCGGGTGACAATGTGGTAGAGGGTGAGCCAGAGCGGGGGGGGGTTGCTAGCAAGGAACTCGGCAGGCATAGCAGCGCGAAAACGGGCCTCACTAGTCTTGAGGTGGGTGATGAGATCAGCGACAGTGTGAAAGGAGGCCAGGTCGGGGAACAGGTAGGGCAGGGAGAGGCGGCCTAGGGTGGCAGACGCAGGTGAGGAGTAGCGAGCAACTACGGCTGTGTACAGTTCCTTAGCAGTCTTGCACTGGCCGAAGTGCTCGCGCTCATCTAGTGGCAGGGAGTTGCGGATAGCAAAGCGAGCGTGTGCGTCGCGGGTCTGCCACTGGGAGCGCAGTGTGCTAGCAGCAGAGGAGTCAGGGGCAGTAGCATGGCCTAGGGCGTGGTCGTACAGTGAAATGTCTTCCTTGGCAGTGAGCTGTAGGAAAAGGTGCAGATCATCGAGCCAGGTGTCAAATTTCACTGGGCGGCCCTCAGCGTCGAAGGCTAGAACAGGAGCAGTAGCCATGGTAGCAGGAGGAGGAAGAGTAAGTAATAAACGTGGCAGTGACAGTAGCAGTAGGGCAAGGCAGGGCCGGGGCAGTCGAGACAGCGGCGGCAGATGCTGCAGGTTCGGCTACGGCTGCTGCTGCTGGGTCGGCGGCGGCTGCTGCTGCAGAGGCAGCGGCGGCTGATTCTGCTGTAGCTGCGGCGGCCGCTGCTGTAGATGATGCGGCAGCTGCTGCTGCTGTAGATGCAGTGGCGGCTGCTGCAGAAGGCGCGGCGGCTGCTGCTGCTGTAGATGCAGCGGCGGCTGCTGCAGAAGATGCGGCGGCTGCTGCTGCTGTGGATGCAGCGGCGGCTGCTGCAGAAGATGCGGCGGCTGCTGCTGCTGTAGCTGCAGCGGCGGCTGTTGCAGTAGATGCGGCGGCTGCAGCTGCTGTAGATGCAGCGGCGGCCGCGGCAGGAGAGGCGGCGGCGGCTGCTGCAGCAGTTGCGACGGCCGCGACTGCAGTCTCTGCCGCGGCTCTTGCTGTAGGCCCGACCGCGGCGACGAAGGCGCGGGGGGGTCGAGCGCAGCACGGAGCAGCGCGACGGGCCGCGCTCGAAGAAAAAAGAGCCGCGCGCGCCGGCGGCTAGCTAGGCGCGCGCGAAAAATGGCCGCGCGCGGGCTGCTGGCTGGTCGCGCGCACGAAATAGGCCGCGCGCGGGCGGCTAGCAGATCGCGCGCGGTAAAAAAAAGGATAGCGCACTAGGGGCGCAATAGGAGGCGCACTAGGGGCGCAATAGGAGGCGCACTAGGGGCGCTTGATAGGTATGTAGGTAGTTAGGTGGGCCCTTAAAAAACGGTCCTAGGGAAGGACCTGCTCTGAAACCATGTCAACATTATGAGACTGGAATGATTGAACTAACAGAGAAATCAGTACAAATAGCAAACCCTAGAATTGTGTACCCCATACTGGCTAACCCACTGTAGCCTAACAAACCAAACATATATAATGTTTGACAGCCGTCTCAAAAATTGGGATCCTCCTAAAACCAAACTCACAGCTTAGGTTACCACGAACCACGAGGGTACCTCACTGAACTCCCCCACAACTACCCAACAACCCCCCAACATCCTCGAAGGATTAAGGTGGAAAAAAAAATCTCACGTGCAGTCACTCTATGGAGTCTTTGAACGTGTATGGTAATGGGTTAACGCATTCAGTCACTAACAACTGGCAGGGATTCATGCGAATGGTCACACGTGTATCTCCCGCCAGAAATACATGAAACAAAAGGCAATTTTCCTGCTCACGCCAAACCAAAAGTCCCAGTCCCCCATGCCAACCACATCCAACCAACCCCGACTATCCAACCAACCCCGACTATGTCGCAAGCACATCTTTTTGGCCGTAATGGCCGGGAATGCCCCAAACTTAGCCTCAACTCCCTGAAGTCGCGGAAGGTTCACACCATTTGCAGATTATGCAGGTTTCGCAAGCTCGGACTCCCGACTCGAGGTAAGTTTCTCTCACCTAAGTCCCTTGTTTGTGTTTGTTTTGGGTGTTTTCCTCCGCCTTACATGCAGCCACACGGTGTCCCCAAACAGCCACCCGATTCCCCCCCAACTTTCAGCAACAACCACTCCGGCCAGTTCCACGCAACTTGGCCACCCCACGCCAATTCTGAGAAATGCCTTGTTCCTCCGATCTAACAAACTCCCCCACCGCCCTCATAATGACCTTGAGTCACGCTGGCAGCTGCCTAGGCCACCTGGCCTACCTCCTCTCGCCGCACGCGAACCTTATTTTTCAGCCCAGGGTCCTCAACAAACGCACCTCGCCAACAACTTCGGCCAGCCACCGCGAACTCCTCGAACCATCGGTACGTTTCCCCCACACCCCTTGGTGCATGTCCACTCGCGCTCTAACGCGGAACAAAGCTCCAAGCACCAGACCTTTAATCGCCCCTCTCGTACCTACTGGTTCACCGGTTTATTTCTGGCCCTCGCTACGCAACGGGAAGTTACCCCCAACTTCGCGCAACGCCACAATCACTGCCCCTCGCCGTCAGCAGGTGCGATGGCCGCCTCGCTGGAGCAGCATTGCTGCCCTGCTACACCTGTTCTCCGATATTTCCACACCCTGAACTTTCAATTTTCCCAGACACCCTATATGGTTTGAGGTTCGAGGAGACGGACGCCTAGACATTGCGGGTCTATCAGGAACTAACCGTCAGGTACCGTCCTTTCGAAACTCGAACTTTGTTATCCGAATGAGCGGGAAAAATTCTAGTGCCAGATTGTTCCTGCGTTAAGCTCGCATTGGGATCGTGTCAGATTATCCCGGAAATTTCTTCGAGCGTTGCTAACTACCTTCGAAATTAGTTTTTTCGAGGGTAGGTACCCCAGGTCGTGAAGATAAAGGGTGTGGAAATACCGGAGGGCAGGTGTACCCTTTCGTCCAGATTCAGGCGGCCAACCATCGCTGAGTCAGTATGACTGCCACTACCTCTACTCTACCTTTCCACCAGTCTCAGGACTCCACCGCGTAAGCAGGCCTCCCTCCACGGCTCTGTCACCAAGGTACGTGGAGGACCATGCTCCGCCCTGGCCCCGGCTCTCTGTCGCCTCTCCTTGGGACTTCCCTCCCACGCCCCCCTATTCACTCAGGGACTTGCCTCCTTACTCACGCTCTCCCTGCATGCCCTCGAGGCTTGTTTCACTCCTTTCCAGCTCTCACGCTCTCGCTCTCTCCCCTCTCCCGCTACCTCGAAAACTGCTCACCGTCTCAATCCCACGCCGTGCTTCCGAGCCTGTACGGAACCAGACTCGGAATGCCGATTAGGCTGCCGGTCACCTTTTCAGAATTGCTGTGGCCAACGCCTGTGCATCCGTCCCCCTCAATTTGACCCTGTCCTTAACCGGACGCGGCAGTCACCACGCACCTCTCATCCCAATGCGCCGCCTTCTGCATGCGGTCCCATCCACGTGGGATGGGCGGCCAACTCCCCCCTCTCCTTCTCGCGACCTCTGTGGTCCCTGGATCCTACAACCACCGGTACACCGCCTCCGGCAAACTCTGGCTCCCTCTCCCGTTTGTTGCCCAGCTTCTCGGCTGCCTGCTGCTACTTGAGACTATTTCTAACCTTCCGCCCTCCTTTCTCACCACTCAACCCCCCGCTCGCTCCCACACCTTTTGCTCCTCCCCCTCACGCCCGAGCGATGGCTGAAATCCTGCAGTTTGATGAAGACATGGAGCTTACGGACGAGATGCTCGAAGCGATGGACCTACCGGACGAACCCGCTGGATCTAACCTCCCTCGCCCTCGGTCTCCCACCGACTCCCCCGCTTCCAAGAAGCCGTGCGTCGCTGCCGATTCCAGCATCCCTCCTCGCGCGATGTCCGCTGACACCTCCGACGTCACGGAGGAACCCACAAACCCGCCAGTGCTGCCCGCAACGCAGACCACTGGCACGTCTGCCCCTTCCGTGGCCGACTCTGCCCCGGCTCCAAACGACGCCGCGCCCGTTCACCCCGCTCCGCTGGCCACCGCTCCCAGCTCCTCCGCCTCGCTGGACCCAGCTACGAACGCCGGCGTCGGAGTCGGAGACCCCGCCGGCGGACCGGACACCCGAGCCGGAGCTGCCCCGCTCCCACAGCCAAGATGCTCATCCCCCCCCTGCTCTGATCCCTCGTGTCATCCCGATGAGCAGCCGCCACGTGGTTACCCTGATCTTCCCCGAGCCCGGAGCCGATGCTATCCGCGCCATCCTCATCTCCAAGATCCGTACGTCTCTCTTCGACTGCGGCTTCATTCCCGATGCCCGCCCCACCAATGGAGAAACCCTGCGCTTTGCCAGGAGCCTACGCCTCGATATGCTTCTCCGTGTAGCTTCTTACTAAGGTAAGCGATAAGCTGTAAACCACGTTTATGATCCTGCATCAATACTGCTCCGACTGCCTGGTCACTAGCGTCTGCTTCCACCACGTAGTCCTTGTCTGGATCCGGTAGGATGAGTACTGGTGCTGTGGTCAGTGTTGTCTGAAGCTGCTTCATGGCTTGCTGATAAAGGGTATCCCATTTAAAGGGCGCATCCTTTTTCAGTAAGTTGGTCAGTGGCGCTGGTATCTTAGCGTACTACGGCACGAACCTGTTGTAGTAGTTGGCGAAGCCTAGGAACTGCTGCAACTCCTTCACGTTCTCCGGTACTTTCCACTTTTTAACGGCTTCGATCTTCCGCGGGTCCACGTGTACGCCCTCCGCACTCACCATGTGCCCGAGAAACTGCACCTTCTTCAGGGCGAAGTCGCTCTTTAACAGCTTGATTTTTCCGCAGGATCTCGAACACCTTCCGCAGATGCTCCATGTGCTCCTTCATGTTCTTGGAGTAGATCAGTATGTCGTCCAGGTACACCACCACGCACTCGTTCAGCAGGGGTTGTAGGATGTGGTTCTTTTCCGCCTAGAACGTCGTTGGTGCGTTTAGAGTCCGAATGGCATCACTTTGTACGTAGGAGCCGTATCTGGTACGGAACGACGTTTTGTGGATCAAGTTGTCCGCCATCTTGATCTGCCAGTAACCCGACCGTAGGTCCAGCTTCGAGAACACCATTGCACCACGCAGTTGGTCGAGAAGATCGTCTATGCGCGGTATGGGGTATTTGTTCTTGACTGTCTGTTTGTTTAGTGCGCGGTAGACGATGCACATCTGTAAACGGCCGTCTGGTTTTGGAGTGAAGAGAACTGGTGCACCGTAGGGAGAGGTGGATGGGTGGATCAATTGCCTGTCCAGTAGATACTCTATCTGCTTCTTCATGTCTGTCAGTTCTGTCGGACTCAGTCAGTATGGTGCACGTGAGACGGATTTCGCACCTGGTTCCTCCACGATCTCGTGCTCGTGGGTGCGCGCTGGAGGTACTCCTGCAGGTAGGTCGTCTGGCATGATATCTTTGTACTGCTCCAAGACCTCCTTCACTTCTGCAGGTAGCTCCGAACTCGGATTCTCCTCCTTTGCAGCTGCCATAACCAGTGCTAAGTAGCCCTTGTTACTCTTGTTCACCGTGCGTTCGAACTGTGCTAGTGTCGTTTCAGGAACGTCCCCTGCATCCGTCCAGCTTCTCAGCTCCAGACTTTTCTCGTTGTTGTAGATGCACGCTTTCCTGTTGACCTAGTCGATCTCGGGGTTGAACCGCTTCAAGAAATTGCGTCCCAAGATGAAGTTTAATCCTTTGAGGTTTGTGATCGGCAATTTCGACTTCCATCTCAACGCACCTATATGCAGCTGCAGTGATGCTTCACCGTGGATGGGAAGCTTCGTACCGTCCACCATTGTTGCTGAAAACTGGGTCTCTTCCGCCTTCTCTCCAATTTTCTCCAACGTCCCGCGGTCGCACACCGAGTGAGATGCACCGCTGTCCACCTGTGCCTGGAGGCGTCATCCTTTGCATAACACCTCAAGGGTTAGTGGTTTCTACTGCACTGAGTAGCCAAAGAGGGTCTCATTAATAGGATCATAGGGTACATAACCAGAGGGTCTGAGGGATCAGAGGGTCTCATAGGGTTAGTGGTTTCTGCTGCACCTTCCCTATTTCCTATACCTGACTCAGCACTTTTCACTTCCAACTTCACCTGGGGGGTAGGAGGCTTTTTCTAGGCTTGTACAATTTCTCCTGAGCCTGGAATTTTCCTCTAAGCCTTTGCATCTGTGCAGGTTTCGCTTGTGGGCAATGGGGAGCCTTAACACGGTGCTGCGGGGAGAGGATATTAACTCCATGGAACGCACGACCCTTTTCTATGCTCCGTAGTACATTGCCCTGTTAAACTGTATTATGTTTGTAGGCTGTAGTGGGGTAGCCAATATGGGGTACAACCCCAACTAGGGTTTCATATTTGTACCCAAACTTCTGCTAGTTCATTCATTCTTGCCTAGTGATTCTGATATGGTATTCAGAGCAGGAGGTCCCTAGGACCTACCGACCGTTTTTTTTAAGGGCCCACCACCGCTCGCATGCGGTTACCACGCTACCCCGTGCCCTAGCCTCGTAGCGCCCTCGTGCGCCCTCGTTAGCGCCCTCGCGCGCCCCTCGTTAGCGCCCTCGCGCGCTCCTCGTTAGCGCCCTCGCGCGCCCCTCGTTAGCGCCCTCGCGCGCCCCTCGTTAGCGCCCTCGCGCGCCCCTTGCTAGCGCCCTCGCGCGCCCCTCGCTAGCGCCCTCGCGCGCCCCTCGCAGTGTCGCCCGCCCGCCGAGCCGCCCGCTCGCAGCCCGCTCGCCCCTCGCCCGCCGCGCTGCCTGCTCGCAGCGTCGCCCGCTCGCCCCGCTGCCCGCTTCGCAGCCCGCCCGCCCGCTCGCTGCCCGCTTCGCGGCCCGCCCGCTTCGCAGCCCGCTCGTCCCGCTGCCCGCTTCGCAGCCCGCCCGCCCGCTCGCTGCCCGCTTCGCGGCCCGCCCGCTTCGCAGCCCGCTCGCCCCGCTGCCCGCTTCGCAGCCCGCCCGCCCGCTCGCTGCCCGCTTCGCGGCCCGCCCACTTCGCAGCCCGCCCGCCCGCTCGCTGCCCGCTTCGCGGCCCGCCCGCTTCGCAGCCCGCTCGCCCCGCTGCCCGCTTCGCAGCCCGCCCGCCCGCTCGCTGCCCGCTTCGCGGCCCGCCCCCTTCGCTGCCCGCTCGCAGCGTCGCCCGCCCGCCCGCTGCCCGCTTCGCAGCCCGCCCGCCCCGCTGCCCGCTTCGCAGCCCGCCCGCCGCGCTTCTCGCCTGCTGCTCCCTGCCTGTGCACCGCCGCTTGCTCCTGCTGTGGCTGCTAGCTTCGCTCTAGCGCGTCCCCTCTGCTGCTGCCGCTGCTCTGCTGTGCCCTCACGCCTGAGCTATGGCCTCTATTCGCGTTCTTTCCTTCGATGCTGAGGGCCGTCCCGTGCAGTTCACTTCCTGGCTCGACGACCTGCAGTTGTATCTTATGAGCAATAGCACGGACCACATCTCCCTCTATGACTACGCGTCTGGTGCTGCCGCTGCTCCTGCTGCCACAGCCGAGCTTAGTGTACGTTCACAGTGGCAGACTCGTGACGCTGCAGCTCGCCTGGCTATTCGCAGTCACCTGCCGTTAGCTGAGCTAGAGCACTTTGGCGACTGCAAAACCGCTAAAGCCCTATACGACGCTGTCGTTGCTCGCTACTCCTCACCTGCCACAGCCGAGCTTAGCCGTCTCATGCTGCCTTACCTGTTCCCTGACCTGTCCACCTTTGCTACAGTCGCCGATCTTATCACCCACCTTCGCACTAGTGATGCTCGCCTGCGTGCCGCCCTTCCCACCGAGTTCTGCGCTAAGAACCCCCCTCCCCTGTACTGGGCACTCCACTTCATAGTCACCCGTCTCCCTGACACCCTCAGCTCAGTGCGCGACTATTTCCTTGCTCGCTGTCCCACTGAGCTCACTGTCGCCCTCCTAGAGGAGAAGCTGCTAGCAGCCGAGAAGAGCATTGTAGCTGTTGGTGCTGCTCGCGGCGCTCCTCGCACCCCCATCTTTGAGGGGTGCTCTCCCTCTCCCCTCGCTCCCTCCTATGCTACTGCTGCTACTGTTGACTTCCTTGGTGCTGAGTCTGCTGGCGCTGCTTCTGCTCCTGGTGGGAGGCGCCGCACCGGCAAGGGCAAGGGGGGCAAGGGTGGCGGGGGTGGCACTGAGGGGGGAGGGGGTGGGGGAGGTGGGGGGGGAGGCGGTGCTGGAGGGAGCGGTGGCGGGAGTGCCGGTGGGAGTGGGGCCGGCGGCGGAGGCGGGGGCGGCGGCGGGAGCAGTGGCGGTGGTGGCAGCGGCGGCAGTGGCGGCGGTGGCGGCGGTGGCGGTAGTGGCGGTGGCGGTGGCGGTGGTGGCGGTCGGAGCGGAGGTAGTGGCGGCGGTGGAGGTCGGAGTGGAGGCACCGGCTCGGGCCAGAGCTCCCTGCAGCAGCAGCGCAGCAGCAGTCGTGGGACGTCGGGGGGACATGTCATTCGCACAGGTTCGCACGCTCTTCTTCCGCCTTGACGACGCTTGGCGTGAGGAGATGGGCGAGGATGTTGAGCGCCCTCGCTGGGCTGAGCTGATGAGGGCTGGTGTTGATATCTTTGCTCTTGACTATGATGCTATTATTGCTGCCATGTATGCATTGACTGTTAGTGCCGAGGGAGACTGTTACTTGTGTGTGCCGCCTGACCCAGGTATAGGGCCCGCTGCCCTAGGTACTAGTGAGTCTGCTCTCTCTGGTATGGTGCCCCCTGTACCTGCTCCCTCCAGCACTGTCCCTACTGCTTGCGAGTCTGCTCTCTCAGGTACAGCACCCACAGAGACTGCTCTCTCAGGTACTGCACCGGCTGAGACCTGTCACACCTTCACCCTTGACTCAGGTGCTTCCCGCTGCTTCTTTCGAGACAGTACTGAGCTCACACCGCTTCCTGCACCGGTCCCAGTCTCCTTGGCTGACCCCTCTGGGGGCCCAGTCCTTGCCCAGTCCACCACTGTGCTCCCTTGTCCGGCGGTTCCGTCTGGCTCGTTGACGGGTTTCCACCTCCCCTCGTTCTCGACGAACCTGGTGAGCAACGCTGTCATCCAGGATCAGTGGGTTGACACCTTTACCCCTGGAGGACAGCGTGTGGCGATCTGCACGTGCTCCAGGACCGGCCGTCACCTGGCTACGTTTACTCGTCGGCCGGGGTCGAGTCTCTACACACTGACCACTGCGTCTCCTCAGGTCGCTGCTGTCGGTCAGGTGTCCGCGTCAGGTCTGGTGGCCCACGCCTGTGAGTGTCGTTCCCTGTCGCACCAGACTCTTCTCTGGCACCACCGCCTGGGTCACCCCTCCTTGCCACGCCTCCGTGGCATGCACCGTCGCCGCCTTGTGTCTGGTCTTCCCAGGTCCCTCCCTCCCCTCCCTGCCTCGCCTGCGCCGCCCTGCCTTCCTTGCGTCGAGGGGCGGCAGCGCGCCGCTCCTCACTCCTCCTCGTTCCCCCCGACAGAGGCTCCTCTGGAGACCCTCCACCTGGACGTGTGGGGCCCAGCCCGCGTTCGTGGCCAGGGCGGTGAGCGGTACTTTTTGCTGGTTGTCGACGACTACTCGCGTTACACCACGGTCTTCCCCTTGCGCACCAAGGGTGAGGTCCCTGCTGTTCTGATCCCTTGGATCCGCACGGTTCGTCTCCAGCTCCGCCGCCGTTTCCGGACGGATCTTCCTGTCCTGCGTCTGCACTCTGACAGAGGTGGTGAGTTTTCCTCCGATCTCTTGAGGACCTTCTGTCAGGCGGAGGGCATCGAGCAGACCTTCACGCTTCCGGACTCCCCACAGCAGAATGGGGTTGCTGAGCGCCGCATTGGCCTGGTCATGGAGGTCGCTCGTACCTCCTTGGTCCACGCGGCGGCTCCCCATTTTCTGTGGCCGTTTGCTGTCCGGTACGCCGCGCATCAGCTCAACCTCTGGCCCCGTGTCTCCTTGCCGGAGACCTCGCCCACACTGCGTTGGACGGGGGAGGTTGGCGATGCGTCGCGCTTCCGGGTGTGGGGTGCTCGTGCCCTTGTCCGCGATACGTCTGCGGACAAGCTCTCCTCCCGCACGCTTCCCTGTGTCTTCCTTGGCTTTGTCCCTGACGCGCCTGGCTGGCAGTTTTACCACCCCACCTCGCGCCGGGTCTTCGCCTCTCAGGATGTCACCTTTGACGAGTCGGTCCCTTTTTACCGTCTCTTCCCCTACCGCACTGCCCCCCTCCCTCCCCCGCCGCTTTTCCTTGCTCCTGGTCCCCCTCCGGTAGACCCCCTTCCCCCTCAGGGTCCTGCTCCTTCAGGTGTCTCTCAGGTAGACCCTCCTCCCGTCGCTGAGCCTGTCGAGGTCACAGGTGACTCAGGTGCTGCTGCAGGTGGTACTGCTGGGAGTGCTGAGCCTGGGGGTGCTGAGCCTGCGGGTGCTGGGCCTGGGAGTGCTGGGACTGCGGGTGCTGGAGCTGAGGGTACTGTGCCTGAGAGTTTGCCGCCTGGGGGTGCTGAGCCTGGGGGTGCTGCGACTGGGGGTGCTGAGCCTGCGTGTGCGGAGTCTGGGGGTGCTGAGTCTGGGGGTGCTGAGCCTGCGGGTACTGAGCCTGGGGGTGCTGCTACTGAGCCTACGGAGCCTCGGGTTACTGCGTCTGGGGGTGCTCCGGTTCGGGGTGCTGAGCAGTCTCTCACACCGCAGCAGCTTCGTGACTGGTACGTCCGGCGCTTTCGCCGTCCTAGTGGCTCGGCTGGAGTTGGGGGTGCTGGGGCTGCTCGTCCTGGGGGTGCTCGTACTGGGGGTACTGGAGCTGCCGGGACTGGTTGTTCTGGGAGCACTGAGGCTGGAGCTGCTGGAGCTGGGGACTCTGGCGCTGGCGGTGCTAGCGGAGTTGGAGCTGCCGACTCTGGGGGTGGCGCTGCTGCTGGTGCTGCGGACCCGCCTGGTGGAGCTGCTACTGGAGCTGAGGACCCGAGCGGTGGCGCTGCTGCTGGTGCTGGGGACCCGGACGTTGGAGCTCCTGCTGGTGCTGAGGACCCGGCCGCTGGAGTCTCTTCTGCTTCTGGAGACGCTGCGCGGCCGCGACCGTACTTCGTACCGCTCCTTCAGCAGGTTCTTGGGCAGGCTCCTCCTCCTTGTCCTCCTCCCTCCGTAGAGTGTCCTCCGCCTGTCCAGCCGCAGTCACAGTTACCGCCTACCTCGCCTCTCCCTGCTCCCTCTCCTTACACTGGTCCCACAGGAGGTCTTACAGAGCGTCGTGAGCCTGAGTCTCGTCCTGCGTCGCCTGTTCGTCCTGCTCGCACTGGTAGTCGTGTCCGTCGTGAGCGTCCTCCTCCTGTCCCAGGCACTCACTACATGACTCTACGTCCCTCTACTGCTCCTCAGCGTGTCCCTCTACCGTCTCCTCCTGCGTCCTCTTTGCCTGCCGTTCCGGACCCTGAGTCTGACCGGTATCGCGCTGAGCACCCTACTGTCACGCGTCTCCTAGCTACTGTTGTCACTGACCCTACCTTTGAGTCCTCGGCTGCGTCTGCTCTGGTCGCTGAGTTGGTTGACTTTGCTGCTGCCTGTCGTCTAGACTACGCTGCTAGCCTTGTTGCTGAGTCTGAGTCTGCGTCTGTCTGTCCTCCGTCCGTCGGGGGTGAGTGTGCTCTTGGCACGGACGTCCTTGAGGACAGGCAGGAGGACTTTGACTCTCTTGCGGCTGCTGTACCTCATCTCGTGGCCTGGTTGCTTGCCCCTGAGGGAGACCCGGATGCACTAGACATCCCCACTCCGCGCACTTACGCAGAGGCGATCTCGGGTCCCTACTCCTCTCAGTGGCAGACAGCCATGGACGCAGAGATGGCATCTTGGAAGTCCACAGGCACCTACGTCGACGAGGTTCCCCCTCCTGGGGCGAACATCGTCGATGGCATGTGGATTTTCAGGGTGAAGCGGCCGCCAGGTTCTCCGCCTGTCTTCAAGGCTCGTTACGTTGCTAGAGGCTTCAGTCAGCGTCAGGGGGTCGACTTCTTCCAGACCTTCTCCCCCACCCCAAAGATGACCACTCTTCGGGTTCTGCTGCACGTTGCTGCTCAGCGTGACTACGAGCTTCACTCTCTTGACTTCAGCACAGCGTTCCTGCAGGGCAGCCTGCACGAGGAGATCTGGCTGCGCCGCCCACCTGGCTTTACTGGGTCGTTTCCCCCTGGTACCCAGTGGAGTCTCCGCCGGCCAGTCTACGGTCTCCGCCAGGCGCCACGTGAGTGGCACGACACACTGAGGACTACACTTGCGGCTCTTGGGTTCGCGCCGTCTACTGCTGACCCGTCGCTGTTTCTGCGCACAGACACGTCGCTGCCGCCGTTCTACATTCTCGTGTACGTCGACGACTTGGTCTTTGCTACTGCTGACACTGAGGCACTCGCTCGTGTGAAGTCGGAGTTGCAGAAGAGACACACCTGCACTGACCTGGGTGAACTGCGTAGCTACCTTGGCTTGCAGATCACCCGGGACAGAGCTCGCCGCACCATCACCCTGACTCAGTCACACATGGTGCAGCAGGTCCTTCAGCGCTTCGGCTTCCAGTTCTCCTCACCACAGGCCACACCTCTGGCTACCAGCCACTCGCTCTTAGCTCCACCTTCGGACGAGTCCGTAGAGCCGAGTGGCCCGTACCCAGAGCTTGTAGGCTGCCTCATGTACCTGATGACTTGCACGCGACCTGACCTCGCGTACCCTCTTAGCATCCTTGCTCGTTACGTTGCGCCTGGGAGACACAGGCGAGAGCACTGGGAGGCTGCTAAGAGGGTGCTGCGTTACTTGTGCAGTACATCAGGCATGGGGCTGGTGCTTGGAGGACACGACAGAGTTGTCCTCACTGGTCACTCGGACGCTTCTTGGGTGGACGACCTGGCTACGCAGCGGTCGTCTCAGGGTTACACCTTCAGCCTTGGCTCTGGTTCTGTCTCGTGGCGGTCCACCCGCTCTTCCTCTGTTCTCGGCTCTAGTTGTGAGGCTGAGATCTACGCCACAGCCATGGCTGCACAGGAGTTACGCTGGCTCACCTACCTGCTGACTGACTTGGGAGAGCGGCCTAGTTCTCCTCCAGTTCTGTACGGTGACAACAAGGCGGCTCTTGCCTTGTGTCAGGAGCACAGACTGGAGCACAGGACGAAGCACATTGCTCTTCGCTATTTTCTTGCTCGAGAGCTTCAGCAGCGCGGTCAGCTTCGCCTTGTGTACGTGGACTCGAAGGCCAACACTGCTGATATCTTCACCAAGGCGCTCCCGCCTAGTGATCATCAGCGGCACTGTACTTCTTTAGGCCTTGTGTCCACGTTTCCTCACTTGCTCACTGCTTGACATTCTTTGTACTGTACTTTATATATATATCTTGTTGCTTGCTTGCTAGGTTTTGATCACTGTGTTGCTTGTCTTGTACTATATCTAGCACTGCATGTGAACTGGCCTTGTGGCCTTTACTTGTGCTCGGAGTGTGGTGACGTTGTGATCCACCCTGGGCTTTGCTTTGCTTTGCTGGACTGGT